TCTCCTAAACCCTAACTGCCATTCCACATCTCCAACTGTCTCTCTGACTCCGCCCCTCCTGCCCTATCCTTGGCTCCTCCCCCTTGAACTTCTGTGATGGACAGACAGGAATGATGTCACTTGTTAGCATTTCAGTAATAATATTTTCATCAAGGATGAGAAAATTTGCAAGTATTCATTACACTCTTTGAGTGTACAGGAGACTGAAAGAGTCGCTGTTTATATTGGAGCAATATGCATCAAAAGATGGTCATATGGAAATGTCCAAAAATGCTGCAAGAAGTACTGGTTCAGACTTACTAAGCTCAAAGTTTGTAGGTTAAACCCAGAGAATCCCATATATGGAAGTTCATTCATGAAATTTTCAATTGCTAGGAAGGTGGGAAGCTAGTTTTAGAAAATTCCCAGTTCCATATGCAACCCTTTGCATTTCTTGAAAATATGTTTCAGATGGTTGGAGTAGATTCCTGAATCTAGATGGGTGGGGTAAAAATGGAACAAACAAACAAATAAGTAAATAAATAAGTAACTAGGAGAACTCTGTGGACATGATTCAAATGTCTGGGTGGTGAAAATTGCCTTCTTTTGCCTTTTCATGAGTGGCATCTTCTGCCGGATCACCCGTGCTTGCAGAGTAGAAAATCTAATCCCACATCCACATCTCTGTGCCATATCACTTCTTCATTTAGAGGAGAAGTGAAGTTCGAAATCCCAAATTTGTGCTGTATGCAAGAGAAAATCCCATTTTTCACTACTTCAATTAATAGCTTCTGCTTTCTTAGTTCTCTTACATCTCGGCATCCTTATGTTGGTGAAATCAAACTTGCAGCATATTTCTTCGCAAGAAATAAGAATCCAGAGATAAGACAGTCTTTGGTGCCCTAGCAACCCCATGTTAGCATGGTAAGAAAGCGACATGGACCCAGACATGTGTAGTCTGGCTTTCTCTATTTTTATTTCAAGAGATTCAGTGCTTGAATTCTTGAAATGTGCAGTACAGCAGATGAAGGCTTTACAGGCATCAAGTTGTTGCTCAGTATACTTTGGAAAATCTGTAAGGGCATTTGTGACACTATGGTTTTTACTCTGCAATAATTCTTTCTAAAAAGCAGAATGGTAACCTCAGTAATTTTGGATCTTTTCAAAATGGTAACACAAACAGATTGGACTTCAGAAGAAAATTTAAGGCACCTTCTGAGCCCTAAAGACTGTTGTGAGTAGCCTAGTTTTGACAGCCTGGAACACCAATAGTGTTTTTTAAAATCTTCTGACAGATGAAGCATGTTGTTTCATCAGAGGCAATCTCATTTGGTTTGGAGAAAAACAGTGTTTGAATGCTTATTTTCAATCTGTACATGCAGTTTTTATGGCATGCACTCAAATAACTGATTTGAAGTTGTTGGATTTGGGGCCATTTCAGATAGCCCCTATTATTGGATACCTTGAATATCTCCAGAGCCCCAACCTGTAATGGCTGCACTTCATCTCTTCTTTTACACAAGAAGGAAATTCTTCAGATGCTCTTTTTAAACTTTTCCCACTCTCTTTACCACTTTGCCTGATGATAATGGAGACATCCACATAAGAAAATTGCATATTCTAATTTAGCACAAGGGGCCTTGTTCCCATCTTAAGTAACACCAGTGTGCAGAAAATTTTGCTCCTAGCTATGACCTTCTCCTGTTGTACCCAATGTTGTACCCAGAGAGAATTCTACTAACTTGGACTTCTTAGAAAAGAATTCTCACTGCCTCCTACTTAACTGTCTCAGCCTCTGGCCTTTTCTTCACTCTTTATGTTGAGGGACAGCAATAACCCCTTTCATGTTCCTATACTACGTATAAAATTTTCTTGAGGGCAACCCTTCCAAAGAAATCACTGATAAATGTCCTAATTATATCTCCAGGCCAGGGTCCCTTATTCCATCTTTTATCTCCCTCCCCCGTTTTTTGTTTTTCTGACATTTTTTACCCAGAGAAATTAGAACAAGCTGTTCCTTTTCCCTCTTACCACAAAAAACCTCGCCATGTTTCCCAGTGTACCTTTAATTTGGGGGGGGGGGAGCATGCACACTTGCTTTTGCAGGTCCTTTTTAAAAAAACAAACATTAATGACAAACAACAACTCTTAGAATTGCATGCCTGTCCGTTGGGCACAAGGTAGCCATGCGAAAATATAAGACATCTTTCTTAGTTTACTGCCAGCAATCCAGCATCCAACTAAAGAAGTTTTATCACATCTCTCACCCCTGTTACCGTTTCCTACATTTCAAATATACTGCTGCCTGTACGGCTGCTTTCCTCCTGTCCCTCCTTTAATTTTGTTGCAAATCTTCCCTACTCACCGCAGACTTTGACTGGTAAATGTCATGAATCTTGAGCTGGCCTTAATTAGGATTTTTCTAAATCTATTAACAAAAGAGAAAGAGTTAATACATTATGTCAAGCCACACTGGCTTTTCTTTAGCTCTTTCCAGGACTGCCATAGGCGCAGATTGAAATTTACTGGGAATATTTTCACATAGACGCTTCGTCTGAGGTTGTGTTAATTTTAAATGGTCTGTTTCCCTTCATCAAGGCTTTGGCTTAAGGTTAATGTATGAACGTAAGATGCATCTTGCCATGTAGCTTTAGCTGTCAGGATTGTAAGCCACATTGTTCAGACACTGCAGCTCAGAATGCCATTGCCTGGGAGCTACAGGCTTCCATTTATTCATTGCTTTATTTTGAGGTTCACTTGGGTGTACAGAAGCCTTTGTGTTTTCCCACTGCGGTCAAACTCTTATATTTTGACATGACATAATGAGAGTGATGCTTTGTCTTTGTAGCTCCCTAACCATGGTAGGTTTGACCAATGCAAGCTCTAATTTCCTTTGATGGATGAATTGCAAAAATTATTAATAATAAAAATTTAAAGGAGGGATACATGAAACTTTCATGTACTACTGATCCATTTTTTAGAGGCTTTTTTGGAGGATCAGTGAAAGAACAAAAAAATAAACAAAAGAACCTCATGTGGGTTCCCCCCCCAATTGAAACATAGAAGGCCCGTCTTTTATATTTGCACCTGAAATTTTTCACAATGCATAAGTTGTCATCTTACTTAATTGCTTTTTGTTCCAAGAGGAGGGCATAGTTGGTAAAGACAGTAATCAGGTTATGAAGTGAAGCTGGGGCTTGATAAAACCATGCAAGAAAGCTGAAATACAGTGATGCAAAGGCTGTTCTGTGTTTTGAGCAATGTGTGTAACATAGTTTCTTGTGTGGTTCCATGCAAATGGAAGCTCTGTTGTTGGTTATGTGGGGCTCTTTTTGTGTAGTTGTGTATGGGTGTGTGGTTATACCTGGAACTACCCATGAGTTAGATTCTGCACAATAATACTTCAAGGAGCCATGCACAGAACTTCTTAAATTTATGAGTAGGGTTAGTTCTTGTGTTCTCAGGAACAGGATAGCATACTACAGTGGTGCCTCGCAAGACGATGTTAATTCATTCCGTGAAATCACTGTCTTACGAAAACATCATCTGCGAAATGAAAAAGCCCATTGAAATGCATTGAAACTGGTTCAGTGCGTTCCAATGGGCTGAAAACTCAATTTCCAGCGAAGATTCTCCATAGGGGCGGCCATTTTTGCTGCCTGTGAAGCAGGGAATCCGTCCCTAAACACAGAGGGGAGCCATTTTAATTATCCAGTGGTCATTTTGAAACCACCGATCAGCTGCTAAAAAAACATTGTTTTGCGAAGAATCGGTTCCCGAAGTAGGGAACCAATCATCGCAAAGCGAAAAAACCCTATTTAGACCATCGTTTTGCGATCGCAAAAACATCATTGTGAAGCGGTTTTGTCGTTTAACGAGGCAATCCTTAAGCGAGGCACCACTGTATTTAGGTAGAACATTAAATAGACTGTATACATCCCAGCAAGAGTCAGTGTGGTACAGAATGGAGTGGTTCCAGATGTGGAAGCTCATTGGGCAGTGGCAGTGCTGAAACCATTCCTTTAATATTTCATTTATTGTCATAATCTTACTAGGGTCACCCTAAGTCAGATGCAGCTTGATGGGATATGGCACACACATGCATCCCAGACTGTTAAATGGTGTGTGTTCCTTCTTTGCTCTCTCTTTTGTGTTTTGTTTTCATTTGAACCAAAAAGATAGTCCTAGCTACTGTACTCTGGTTAAGGAGGTTGAAGTGTACAGCAACATAATAACTCAGCATCATTCGGCTTTTTACTGTAATTATCGGAATATTCCATCATACAGAATGGGTGCGTACTGCCTTTAAACTCCCTTCAGAACTATGCAAAGCAGAACATCAGTGGTCTACTCCTTCCTGGTAAGGAACTGTTACATGTTAAGCCAAGTTAAATTACTAGTAAGGTGCCCATAATACAGTATCAACTGAATCTGTATACAGTACTAGTGGGCTGCCTTAATCAGACAGGGAAACTTGCTTGCCTTCTTACCTGAATGGCTGTTTCTTTGTACCTTCTATCTATGGACAGAGGAAGAAGTACAGGAAGAAAAACAGTTTAAGACACTTGGGTCCCCAGATATGGGTCATTACACCACTCCTAAGAGCGTTAAACTAGTACTGTCACCATTATCTTCTCATTCAGTTATAAATCCCCTCAGTTAAAATGAAATTTTGCATTCCTCCTTTCCCTCTAGTCTTCTCTCCTTCTTCTAGCTATTCTTAACCTTTTCCTAAATGCTCCTTCAGTCACTATTATTTGCTATTCTACTATGTCATAGAGTTTATAAGAACTTGACGTGCTGTGCTCTCTTCGGTGATGATTAAAAATAACTCTTTGTGATGTATTAGGTCAGCAGTGATGCACATAATGCTAATAAAAAGGCGGCTAGGGCCAGTGAAAAGGTATGACGGCTCTAACCTAGAAATGGAAAAGTTGTCACCAGGAAATAAGAATAATGAGATGCTCTCTCTCCTTCCTTGTTCTGTCCTCTCTCTATGTGTGTGTATTTTTTTCTTTTAGGTGAGAGACCATTCCAGTGCAGATATTGTCCATACAGTGCCTCTCAGAAAGGCAACTTAAAAACACATGTCCAGTGTGTACATCGGGTACCCTTTGACAACAGCCAGTATCCTGACCGACGGTTTGAGCAGCCTCTGTATAATTATTCTAACACCCCGATGGAAGAACAGCTGGAAAACATCCTTGCAATCCATCTAGTCCCTGGAGCAACTGTGTTATAGTGAGACTCATGCTTTGTGTTTTTATAGAAGAGGGATGCCTCTGGACCGTTAATCATTTTAGAATAAATGAAGAAGCTACACAAGATATATACAAATAGATGTACTAATCAGTCCCCGTGGTTTCTTATATCTGTTATAATAAACCATGGCAGTGGCAAGCTTTGTGATGGTGCGAGGAATCTATATTAATCAAGATAACTTTTCTAGACACTGGAAAAAAAATAAACTTTATATGATTTGGAGGGCTGCACTGCAACAAAATCCTCTCTCATGGTTCTTTGATTCATTTTATTTTTATTTTTATTTTGGGTGGGGGGAAGAAAACCAGGGAGGATTTGGCAGTGTGAGAAGGAATGATAAATGAAATTGCCATTAGCTGTCACGCTGGAGGAGGAGAAACCCGCAACTACTTCTTTTCTTTATTTATTAAAAAGAAGAAGAAAAAAAGAGAGAGAAAGAAATAGAAGAAAGCAAAATGGAGGAGGAACTCCGTGCTGTGAAAGCCAAGCTTGATGAAGGAGAGAAGGGGACTAAAGGAGGAGGCCATCATTCTGCAGCGAGGTCGTTTCATGGTCATTGTGTTTCTGGTGGGCTTATCCTTGACTGCACACCATTAATAGTATGTGAATATGGAAATCAAAACACTTCTTAAGAAACATGTATTTTCTCACTTTGGAAAGAAAAGAAACAGCTAGTCAAACACTAAGAAGAAGAAGAAACAGGCTTCTGGTTTTTTGTTGGGTTTTTTTTTTTGCTTGTTTTGTTCTTTTTTTGTTTTGTTTTGTTTAACTCTCAGGGCCTTTCTGTTTGTTCATTCTGCTATTTCTTCTTTTAACAGTGCAACTTTCTGTGACCTGATCACAAAAAGAAATGTGCATACTTTTAAAAAAGAGAATTAAAAGGAGAGGAAGTATTTGATTCAGCTGTTTAAAGCTGGTTGGTATGCTTCTGATAGAAAACAGAGAGAGGAAAGGCAGATTTTGGGCTCTTAGGGTACTTTATGTACCTGCTTTTTTTCTGCAGCAAACCAGTTACACATTATGGGCCCTGGTAGTGTTTTTTTTTGGGGGGGGGAAGTAACTTCTTTTGTGGTGGCAGGTCAGTGTTCATTTAACGTGTCATGTCTTGCATTTGGTAATCACTGGGGTGAGAGGGAGAGAAAGGATGCTTTATATACCTCTTCTACAGTAGCTCTTTTAAATGCAAGTTTTCAAGGTAGGGGTTGAGGGTGGCAGGTTCTTAACCATGCAGTGTCTGTAGTTTATTATATATATATTCCACAGGTATAAATATTTTCTTTTCCTTTATTGCTGTGACACTGTGTGTGATGGTAATAATTCAGAGTTCGAGATTTTGCACATATAATTTTATGCATCATCATAAAAAAATGCTGCCTTGAAAAAAATATTGTGAATTTTTTTGCAAAAAAAAAGCTTTACTAGTTTTTTTAATTGTAACATTTTTGTAAAGGCAGGAATATGGATTTTTTAAAAAAACTAGCACGCTAATTATATTTTTCAAAAAAAGCAATAATTTTACGTGTACAGAAATGGCGCTAACCTTTTAATACTGATTGAGAGCAGCCGTTTACATTCTACAATAATGGGATAGTGCTGTTTTTGTAGTAAATGGGCTTCTTACACAAAGATTTTTAATACATTATTTTTTTCTGTTCTAATCTTGGTTTTGTCTATATTTGAATTGGGATTGTACCTTTTGCAAATGACTTGACTGTTCTTGCTTTGCAGTTGTTGACAATAATTCAGTTGTAACATTTGTATGTAGTTTCCTGGATTGGATTTCTTTTTTAATTTCCTTCCTCATCTGTGTACACCAGCTGTAGGCCAGCTGTAATCCTGGTACAGCTGAGAATGTCTGTGTAAAATGCCTATATAAGTGATTGTAACCAGCTCTCTTTCGAAGTTGTTCTGAAGAAATTCGCATAGACACATTCCACCCTCCCCTTTTCTACCCCATGTATCCCACTCTGTTTTCATCTCCCTACCTCACCCCCACCATCTTTTAACAATTGATCAATTTGGGATTCACACTTAAGTGCTACCTGTTCCCTTTATCAAGCACTTATTTTCCTTATTTGAAGTTAAACAGACAAGGATTGAGGATGCACGGAGGAAGCTTTGGTGCCCATTTGTGCGTTTGCAGTTATTAAAAACCCTTCTGTCCCCCCAAAAGTGAGACGAGTTATAATTTTTTTCCTATTAGTTGGTGTGTGTGTGTGTGTGTGTGTGTGTGTGTGTGTGTGTGTGTGTGTGTGTGTGTGTGTGTGTTTATTGTTTTAAAATTGTGTTTTGGGAGTGGTATGCGTTTGCCTCCCCCTGCCCCCCGGTATTTTTGCAAGCTAAAAGGGGAAGGATATTGGTTAATATTTAGAGTTTAAAATCTCTTCCTGGAGACTGTTTACTTCAGGACTGTCAGACACAGAGAGAAGAAAACTACTGTCACTGCCATTACCAGGGTACTAATCAGCAAAGTTTACAATCATAATTTAGCTACATGAAGAACAACAGCAGGGGAAATCAGTTTAAATAATTATATGCTGTGTATAGCAGAGAAATGAGATTTTCACTTAATTAAACAAGAAATAGGGAGGGAAAAGGGGGGAAGCCTTCATTAAAGACCAGCCGTTCTCACGTGTGAATCCCAAGCTTGGTAATTTCCTCTTTGTTATCCATATTGTATCGATTTGTTAATTTAGTTAGACCCTAGTGCTTAGTTTGATTTGTGTTCTTATTTATTTAGGTCTTTGGGTTTGAAATAGCTTTTTTTTTAAAAAAAAAGGAGAAAAGAAAAAAGGAAACGATAATGTTGTAGCATGACACTCTCTGTAAGCCATCTTCTGACTGTTACAAAGACTTTCTACTACCTCTATCAATCTATTTCTTTTCTTTAAGAGGTTTTCTACAGTGTTGGAGTCTAATGTACCTTAGACAATAAAGGGTTCAGTTATGAGCACTGAAGATAGTGTTTCAGCAATCCCTTTCTCCATTCTTCTTTTCATATATATATATTTTGCTGTGCACCCTCCTATAAAAAAAGTGAGCTTCCTGGTTCTAACAGCTCCTCCATTCCTGTGCGCAAAAATATGGTACAATTGCTAGTACCAAGACTATGGAGTATGTTATCTTTCAAAAGTTTGATAAGTTTGTTTTCACTGATATATTCCTAAGATTAATTCCAGTGCAAATAAATGACTCTGCTTTTGTGTTCTTGAAAAGAGAATTAAAAATACATTTGTGGCAGGGGAGGGGGAATTAGATTTAAACATTGAAGCCACTTCACTGCATCTCTCATTTATTATTTTATTTTTATTTTGGGAAATCGTTGCCAGAAGACACAAGTCTCCATATAATCAGGTTCAAATTAGAGATACGTACAGATTATGGAAGTTTGGACATCTAGTTCACACCCTGCAAGAGGACAGACTCCTGGGCTGCCAACTACATCCTGTTATTGAGACAGGAGAATGCCATGTGCAAAAAGCAAGAGTGAACAACGCTTCTTAGGTAACACCATTTAAAGGCTGTATAGCAAGACAAGCTGGATAGCTAAAGCTTCCCTGCCAACCCACTTAGGAAAATAAGAAGCTCCTTGTATAGAGTCGCACACAATTGGTCTGTCTAGCTCGGTGTTGTCATTACAGACTGGCAGAGTCTCTCCAGGTTTCCAGACAGAGCTATTTTGTTTTCCTGCCTGGAAACACTGGGAGTTGGACCAGATATGTTCTGTATGCAAAGCTTTGCCATTGAGCTACTCCATTTCCCCTACTAAGAATTATGTAATGGACCTTAACTAGTACTCACGTTCCAGTAACTGCTAGGTACAAATATTTTATTCAGTTTTGACATGGGGTTAACAGCCTTCTGAAGTAGGATTATGAACACATAGATGTTTTCAAAGATACAAATGGAGTGTTGCACACACAGTAGCATCCAGATTTGCAGCCCTCCCAGCACCACACCCGATTGCTGTGCTGAAAACGTGTGCCAGAACGTGACCACCAGCACCCTCAAACAGTTTTGCAGAGTCCACGGGGTGCTGGAGTTTTGAGGGAGATAGTACTTCTGTTGATGCAGTGATGGGCTTGAATCCTTTCCAAAGCAAGCGCAACATCCCCATGCAGTTACCCCACCAATATAATTAATCTGTGGTGACAGGGAAAAAAATGATAGGATTCTAAATTAAGTATGAAAGATCAAGACTGGAAGACCTTGATTAGAAATGGTTTCATGGTTGGCTTGGAATTTCTCGCCCCTTATCACTTCTCTCATACATCAAAATATCCTTCAATAAAACAAGTTTTCAGTGCAAGGTTCTGTTGTGTGTACGGATCATGCACTCTTCAGTCCAGTTTCTTTTGCCAGAAGGGATGCTTTAACAATCAAAAGGGCAACTGTTTTGAGAAGTGTTCCGATTACTGCGATGCTATCCAGAAAATTTCACAGCCAAAGACAAGTAAAAAGGGTTCCATCAATGACATTTTCCCAAAAATGTTTGTGTCTTGAAACATCGGCACTAGGTCCGCCTGTGAATTCGGCCAGTGCATTCATTTGGCCAAATCCCAAACCAAACTGGGCTGATTCAGACTGGTTCAGAATAGATCTGAATTAGACCAGTCTGAATCAGATTCAGTAAGAGAAAAGCCAGACAGCATGGCTCCAAAGTGTTGCAGAACAGCACCATGTAAGGAGGTGGAGGAGGGGAGGGGACCTAGACATTACTCATTGGCAATTCAAGCTTCAATCTGGGGCAAGAATCTCACCAGCAATGTTCACTTACATTATCTAAGGGGAAGGTAAGGTGAACTTGTATCTCCCTGTCTTGTGCTCTCTGCTTGTCTGCTAGCAAAGAAACTGTTTTTGAAAGAGCTTTGTCTGAATCTGGTAACAGCTTTATTACTTCAGTTTAATTCATTCTACTTGCTATCCCAATTCAGTTTTATCCCTCCTTAGTCTCTATATTTGTTGTTTATTTGTGTATCTGCTGATTTCTCAACCCTTCCACTCCCCTCAATTTACAACACAGGTGTTAACAAAGCTTATAGTATATCAGACTCTTCATTTTGAAGCAAACATTAAAAGGTGGATAGTAGAAAAAGCGACTGATGTATTTGTCTGCAGTGTGGCAATATTACCACACTGAGGAGACTAACTTGTCTTCAGATGCTAATTGCTTACATGAGTGTTATGGCAGTTTCCTACTGCCCGCCTCTGAGAGATGAGAAGAATTGGATCCACATCACGTTGGCTCAACCCAAACCATATAAGGACTGTAAAGGAATCAGTTGACCCTTTCCTAGACCTGCTATGAGGGACTCATCTCTAGTACCTAGTATCCTGTGTCCTGCTGGTTTCTCAACCCTTCCACTCCCCTCAGTTTACATATACAACACAGGTGTTAACAAAGCTTATAGTATATCAGACTCTTCATTTTGAAGCAAACATTAAAAGGTGGATAGTAGAAAAAGCGACTGATGTATTTGTCTGCAGTGTGGCAATATTACCACACTGAGGAGACTAACTTGTCTTCAGATGCTAATTGCTTACATGAGTGTTATGGCAGTTTCCTACTGCCCGCCTCTGAGAGATGAGAAGAATTGGATCCACATCACGTTGGCTCAACCCAAACCATATAAGGACTGTAAAGGAATCAGTTGACCTTTTCCTAGACCTGCTATGAGGGACTCATCTCTAGTACCTAGTATCCTGTGTCTGATTTTGAGATAAACGTTAGACTAAATCAAAAACGAATCAAAGAGTTGTAGGCTATATTGAGTGCTGGATGCCATATCGCGCAACAACAGAATGTATCCTAGCCTTCCCTTGACCACCCCAAATTGGAGACTCAGTGGTATGAGAGGTGCTTCAGAGCTAAATCAAAAACGAATCACGAAAGAGTTGTAGGCTATATTCAGTGCTGGATGCCATATCGCACAACAACAGAATCTATCCTAGCCTTCCCTTGACCACCCCAAATTGGAGACTCAGTGGTATGAGAGATGCTTCAGAGTCATTTCATGGGTGGCTTCTAGGGTTGCATAAGGGAAGGAAGCTTCCCAACAAGTGGCAGCATCATGTTTTAGGCTGTTGGCTAAAAACTTTTACTGAACAACCCTGGGTAGGGTCATAGACAACAAAGCAGTTCATTTAAAAGTAGATCTCTCTTACAGCTTTTAAAATGTGTGTGATGGGGTTTGGTTTTCTCTACTTTAGCTGTAAGTAATTGCTCCTAGGTATACAGCTATGATGATAATGTCACATGGCTATTCCTAGAAGATGTCAATGAAAACTGAAAAGTCCGTGTCTATTATATTTCTTATCCTTCTAAGAAGAAGCATCTAGATCTCTTTCACACAAAATCCTGCATAAACATGGATAACAGTTGAATGGTTGCCCATTTCAGATTCGGTTACAAATATTTGAAGAGTATGATGGAAAAAAACCCCCACAATAAAATCAGCAAAAACAAAATAAGGTAAGTGTTAATATGCTACCTGAATATTTGCATGTATGCCTTCAACTGATTATGTTGTACCACAGAACCGGAGATGTAAAAAAATGTTAGATCAGACTAAACATCTCTCACTGATTAGATGCAACCTCATGTCCTTACAGTTTACTGACAATATACAGTGGTGCCCCGCATGACGACGATAATCCATTCTGGGAAAATTGCTGGTAAGCAAATTCGTTGTCATGCGAAAAGCCTTTCCCCATTGGAATGCACTGAAACTCGGTTTAATGTGTTCCAATGGGGTAAATACCTGGTTGTCCAGCGAAGATCGCCCATAGGGAAGCTGTTTTGCGAGTGCTGATCAGCTGTTAAAATGGCTGCCCTGCGAAGCATGGGTCCGGAAAACACAGGGCAGCCATTTTAGGAAGCCGACGATCGTTGGAAAAAATTGTCGTTTTGCAAATAAATGGAACGTGAAGCATGGACCTAATCGACATCCAGCGGAATTCCCCATAGGAATGACTGTTTTGCGAATCGCTATAGCGATCGCAAAAAGTCATCATGCAGTTTCGTCGTACAGTGGGGTCGTCGGCTAGCGAGGTACCACTGTACCATTCCTTACTTGTAATTTCTTGGGCATGCAACAAACTAACAGTATCAAAAAGTGTGACTCTGCAGGATGCTGATGTAACTCCCTTGGAACCAAGAAGCATGACGCTCT